TTATCACAGAAGGTGCATACAATGAATTTTTTTCTTGTTTTATTGTAATTTTTAAGAAATTTTTTTTGAATGATATAAACAAAATTATTTTCTTTTATTGTTGCACTATGGCCTTAAAAAAAAAATTCAGAGTTCGGAATCTATATGGATTCCAGGGAACATAACCTAATCATCTGAAAATATTTCAGTGCAGAACCACTGATAAAAAACCCAAAACCCATTGCTGTCGAGTCAATTCCGACTCATAGCAATTCTATAGGACAGAATAGAGCTGTCCCATAGGGTTTCCAAGGAGTGGCTGGTGGATTCAAACTGCTGACCTCTTTGGTTAGCAGTCGAACGCTTAACCACTGTGCCACCAGGGCTCCATGTATGTGTGTGATTTTTATTTAACTTGAGTGTCTTTGATATACCAAAGATCTCATCACACTCTATAAACCACCTTTAAGATGTTGCTAGTATCAAAAAGCTGTGCATTGCTATGCAACTCCACCCGATGATCTCAAAATTACATAAAGATACATACGTCTCCAAGTCACTCAAAACTGGTACTAGACTGAAGAACTGGTTTGCTTTAAGCCAAGTTTATCTCTCTAAAAGTATTAGCCAGAAATAAATTCTTAGTTTTCGGTGTATCCCTCTAGGATTTGGACAATGGAAGCAAGATCCATTAGGATACAGTGATAGACCGCCAGCTGTCCACTTATGTCTGGTATTACAAAAGCTCTTCAGAAGTCTCCTGAGAGAGCCCTTCAGGGAAGGGACAGTGGAAGTTTAATGCAAGCTTGTCATTCTATTTAGTGCGCTAATTCTTTTAGAACAATGTGTGTGTGTTTTAAGAACAGAGGCAGAGCGTGTGTGTGTGTGTGTGTGTGTGTGTGTGCGCGCGCGCGCGTGTGTTCTGACTAGGAGAAAGAGGCAGAAATTCTGCCGGGGACTTTAAACAGCTATTGTAGAAAAAAGAAAAAAATGAAGAAACTTATGGTTTTCTTAGTCAAGAAATGTATTTCTATGTACTCTGAAAGCAGCACAAAATTCACCACCTAAAGCAGAATTTTAATACATGCAAAATAACAAGCAATACGTAATACTTATAAAAACGAAAACGGAAACAACTTTCCCAATTCTCTAGGGAAAGAATTTTGTCTACTGCTACAATTAACTTTGACTCAACCAATCTAAAGAGCGTTATTAGAGGATAGCATGTTTTAAAATTGGTGGAAGAGGGAGCAGAAAATGTGCTAATACAATCTATAGATGGTAAAAATTCTTGAGAATGTAAGAAGGCAACTTTGTCCAAGGAGACCTAGGCAATACAGATTGAATAGCAAAGATTCTTTCCTTAGTGGGATAAAGAGACGATGCAGTACAGCTCTGATTCTATGCTATATTCTAGGAAAGAATCCAATGGAATCGGGGGATCACACTCTTCAACATGGTGGCAGGGATGAGGTAGTATAATCCTGTGCCCTCTGTTGTATCTTTGTGTGTATTATGGGTGCTTAAATATTTATTTTGAGTAATTGAATGAATGAATAGTGTTTGAAATTTTTGAGGCCCAGATTTGTCCCCTGCTGTTGTTGCTGGGTCTTAGCGACCCCATGTGACAACAGCAGTTTGAAAGCACCAGGATTTGGAGTGGGCAAGGGTTAAGCTTTACAAGTGGTTTCAAAAAAGAATTAAGTTTTCTTTTACCAATTTGTAGGTATTGTTTTCAGACAAGAGAACATACCAAAATCTGCATGCTTGATCAACTTACCTTTCTTTGAAGCTTTGAGGAGCAAGCACTTGAGATGGCACTTAAAACAAATGCATAGTGATTTCATTAACATATTCATGGATATTTTTAAGAGAATATATATATTTGAAAGCTTTTATGAAAATGTCTATATTGCATAGAAGGAAAAATCCATTTTTCAGATTTTTTTCTTCATTCATTTATAGTGTCATTTTTAATTTTGAGGTCTGAAAGTTTTTAGATTGGATTCTATTTGATAGTTACCCTTGAACAGGGCAAATAAAAATGTTGCATAATTGCTGGTGTGTCTTTCTGATTTTTAAAGGGGCACACATCCATTGCCCCAGATAAATAAAGGTATGGAAAAGCATTACAAAAAACGTGCAAATGAAGCACACAAAACTTTATCACCAAGAGATAAGTTCTGTAACATTCTAACATGTGAGCGTTCTGTATATAAAATTGTGTTAAGAAATGGGACATTATTTCTTATTTTTAAATTTTTTTACTCTTTATTTAGGCTTTCTTTGCAATATTCTTGCCCTAAAAATACAGAGAATGAAAGTGTATAATTTGTGCAGAGAGAATACTCCCTAGAAGCACAATAATTAAAATAAGAGTATTCACCGCGCCAAAAGGAATGCACGTTTAGAAGCAATGAAATTAGTCTAAAATAGGAAACAATACACAAAATTCCTGCAAGTGAGATCCATTTCAACTGACAAGGAAATTCAGCAAAGATATCAGAGGTTGAACGGTGCTTCTGAATATCCCAAACGAAACTGGTCAAAGGACTAAAATCCGCATATATTGGAAATGCTGCAATATCAAGGAAATGGACTAAAATATTAAAGGGTTTTCTCATTTTTGATGGCCAAATTCCATCCCGTAAGCAGTGCATTAGACGTTAATGACATACGATTTCTCACTGACAGATTTAACAGCATCAGTAAGGCCTTTCTGTCCATTGCAGCAAATTGATCCTACATGACACTGACAAGGGCAGCCTGCACTTAATGACCTCCCTCGCTGAAGGATGGGAATGAAAAATGATTGGAAGTACAAACAAATCTTTGAAAGTTTCCCTGAAACAGGTGCGCTAAAAATGATTCGTTTGAGGGATCGCAAACATAAACCCAATCTCCAAGCATGACCCATTGTCTGTCTGTTCACACCAGGGTCTCATTCCTTGTATCTTGCACCAAAATTGGCTTTAATTCCAAAAATGAGATCAAGACAGTTTTGTCCTTACATTTATACTATGGAAATATTACATTAGGGCTTTCTCTTAAAGGCATGAGTTCTTCACTATTTATGCAGGTGTCCAATATATTTGTCATTTGTGACCAAAGGATTCTGTACAGATTGATAACAAGTGCACATAAAAATTATTTTTCTTTCCCTTCTGATTAGAAAAGGAAATACAGTGTAGCCATCGATTATTTTCTCCTCCTCAATTATCAGCAACAAATAGAACATGTTTAACCTCAATAACAATGTCAAATGCATGAGGTGGTTTGCACAAATGTTCCATGGATACATTGATGAACTCCATTGATCCTGGTATGGTATGAGGACACTAAGATTTTAGCAACTTTTGCCCCAAAACACTTATTTCTTGATTTACATTCATCTTGCCACTATTTCTATGAAAATATTTGAGAAAAATACATCCCTCTCTCCCCAATATATACAGAAGCTTGAACTTTTATGAGAATGGATGGATGGGAACCCTTGGGGAGCTGACAAGCAGCATACCAGATGAATGCAGTAGTTACAGTTGCATAAACAAGGTGCCTTGGTGTTGATTCTGACTCACGGCAACCCCATGTGTGACAGAATAGAACTATGCTACAGAAGGGTTTTTGGATTTTTTTATTTTTTTGGACATAGATTGCCAGGCCTTTCTTCCGAGGTACCTTTGGGTGGACTCAAACCTCCAACTTTTCTGTTAGCAACCAAGAATGTTAACAGTTTATACTACCCAGGGACTCCACAGTGACACAGCGTCCCTTTATTTTCAAAGTAATTTATTATGGATGTCTCTTTTGTATCCCTTTTCTATTACCCTATGAAGTAAACCTTGTTTAACGTATGGGAAAACTAAGGTCAGAAAGGGTAAATGACTTGCTAAGGTCACTGAGCTAAAAACTGGGAGAGCTTGCATTCAAATCTTGGCCTTCTGCATTCCCAATGTTCCAGAGTAATCAGGGAGTCCCCAGGTAGTGCAAACAGTTAACATGCTCAGCTGCTAACTGAAAGGCTAGAGGTTCTAGTCCACCCAGAGGCACCTCAGAAGAAAGGCCTGGTGATCTACTTCCGAAAAACCATCATCGAAAACCTTATCAAGCACAGTTCTACTCTTACGCACATTGGTAGCCATGAGTCAGAATTGACTCCATGGCAACTGGTATACCGAAGGCTAGGTGTACGACTGGAACTCTAAACTACTAATTTATAGTACAGCAGTATGTATGATACCAAGAGCAGAAAGGATCAATTAGCAGTCTACTGGTTCTTAGGGCTAGGTGAATTGTTAAAAAGTAATCATTCCTTTATTTCCTGAAATTTGAATCCTGGAGGAGAAACAAAGATTCAAAGGAAAATGATTTTTCTTGTCACTGAGTACCTGGAGAAGAACATACAGGAAGTGGCTGCATGTTCACACTCTAGTAATGGTGCTTTCACTTCCTTCTATTTTTGGGGCATATGTGTGCTTTACTTTTCACTGTTACCGTTACAGAGATTTTACAAAAATATCCTCTGAATTCCCAGTGATTTCCAATAACCAGAGGTGGTCAGCTATTTCCCCGAGTTTCTAATTACTCCCCATATATAATAAGAAAGTAGAAACATAACTTGGAGCCCAAGCATCCAGAGGAGATTTAGAGGCCTATCACGGGAAGTCATCTATGTTTAGAATTTAAATTTGAAATTTATGATAATATATTTAAATCTAAAAACCACAAAAAAATTGGTATTCTAGGTCAGAATAATTTAAACAGCAATTAGTATGAAATGGTAGATTAAAAAGTAAGTCTTTCATTTCTCAAATATCTTTCTTAAAATTCCATCTCAGAAGGCTGACAAGAATACCAAACAAAATGTTACAAAAAGAAAACATGCTGTTTGGTGTCAGGCTAGTTCAACCCTCAGACTGGAGACTACACTACTGATCACTTTTTACTTTTTCATTTATGTCAAGTAAACAATTATTTAAAAACAAACAAACAAAATAATAATAAGAAAAAAAACATAATACCTGTGTTTTGTCTCTAATTGAAGCATTAAATGATAATAGCTGTCTATCATAGACACTGAAATATTTCTCCTTTTCTGCTAAGAAATGATCTTGTATCTTCTGATACTCTTGAGCCAAGCGCAGATTTTCTTCCAGTGAATCAGCTTGTGTTTTCTAGAAAATAAATGTATATTTTAATTTAAATCACTTTACTTTGTTTGAGTTTTTACAAGATCTTTTAAATTATCTGAAAGTGTTCCATTACATATTACAGCAAAATAGCAAAACAATCAAAAAATGCTTCCCTTGACACAAATATGTCCCTTGGACTTACTATTGTTCTTTCTTGATGCAGGGTTTTTTTTTTTGTTGTTGTTTTTAATATGGATATGTGAGTCGTAAGAGTCTGCCTGACTTTTGTTCTGCCTTTTCCCATGACATTTCCCAGGTTTCCATCTATAATGCCTGGGGAAGTCACTGGTCCTGGGAGCTTCCACTAAGCATCCTGGGAGCCTCCTTCCAGTTTCACACTTGTTTTTCCTTTCCTCATACCTCTGGCTCAAACAGGCAGAAGCTCAAATGAGAGCTTAGGATTCAGTCTCCAAAATGTTCTGAGAGTTGGCCCTCACAGAAAACACTTCAAACACAGAGGAGGGAAGAGTAAAAGACAGAGAGCAGAGGACTCAACATTTAGAAATACCCAGAGCCATTATTTGTTATTCACATATTTCAGCCATATTAAAGGTTAAATCTGCTTCGGTGAGCAGTGGAGAGCTTTATATAACAAATACGTGTCACATTTAATACAAACACCTTAGAAAATAACTTTGCAACAATACCCATTGGCAAATTGGTGTCCACCAATAAATTTAAATTAGAGGTATGAATTCAGTTTAGTTGCTGATTCCTTTTGTATTTATAGCAAAGAAATTTTTTTATACTTCTTGCTTCAAAAAATATGGAATTTATCAACAACCCTAAATAGTTCAAACCTATTAATCCAGTAATTCCACTCATGGGAATTTATCCTAAACAATAAGCTTTATTCATTACAAAATTATTTAAAATAGCAAAAAGGTTTCAAAACATATAAATGCAATTAAAATTTATGATTAAGTAACTAGGTATTAAAATAACCATTGTGAAGCAATTGAAATTTTTTTAAATGAAAATCGCCATCACATCAAACCTTTTGTATAACTCGTTAAAAAATAGTATTAAGGTTTGATGTTAAAAAGTAGATCATAGTATGAGAATGTGTATAGAGGAAACGTAATTCAGCAGAAAATCGTCTGTATAAATAGTTCTGTATTTACACTCTTGAAGATTTACTAAGGTCAACATACATATTTCTCATGAAAGCCTGGTATCCATATTGATCCCCAATGATTAATACTACCTCATAGCTGTTCTTCAGAAAGCCAAAATCTTGAACTGGCAATCATTTCAAATGTCCTAATTCTGGCTTAATAATTCAATACTTTAGAAACTTCTATGTAGTAAACTTGTCTATAATCATACAGAACTATCTCTTAGTAAAAGGACCAGATATCTATGAATATTTTTCTTTAATAATGATACATCTTAAATGACTGCTATGGTTCTTTTTGGTATCTTAAAAATCCAATCCTTAAGTGACTGACTTGGAACATTCATAAATGTTCCACTGGAAGTGAGAGAAGGGATTATTTTGAGTTTGTTTGTTTGTTTTAACAGAAGCACAACTCTGCTACCTGAGATGTCCTACTTTTCAGTTACTTTTCTTTCAAACCCCAGGCATCTATTATAAAAATTTAATTGGGGAGCAGTGCTACAAAAGTTGTGGAATTTGCATTAAACCTACTTAATGGAACTTAATTGGGGTATATCTGGTAATTTATGTTTTGCTCACTGTGTAATAGACAGCTTTCTTCCCAAATGCGTATACTTTCAGTTTCCAGATGGAACCAGCTCTTACCACTTTTATATGTCATAATTAGAGGGGATACCAAGAAATCGAATTGGATAGTTACACCAATGAATCTTCAAAACATTGTTAATCGGTCATCATATTTTACATTATCACTTGCCAGTAACGAATGTATAGAAGGATTTATCAATTCCCTACCTATTCCCAAAAGTCAGTGACCTTCAGATGTGCAATGAAGTTCAAGTTTTTTAATTTTAAGTAACAGTATTCTGCTGACACTGAAAATGTTTTTTATGTCTAACTGTGGTTCCACCTCACAACTCTGACTCCTTTAATTTTAACCAATAGTACGATAACATTCAAACGAAACAAAGGCAGAATGATAATACTGGTGGAAATATATCTTGGGGAAATAATGCTACCGCTACTGGAAGCTGAACAGCTGGTAAAAGGATAGCAGTAGAAGACATTTGGAAGAAGACATTTAACAAGGCCACAAAATTGGGGGTGGGAGGTGTTTAAAAATGGTTGAGAACAGAAGGAAACAAAAAAGCAACAGGTAAAATGACTTTGAAGAGCTTTTAAATTCAAATCCAGCTGAATCTTATCAGGGGAATCTTTCTACTTAAGGTCTCGGCTAAATGTGAACTTGCAAAATATTTCTCAGTTCTAAAGTCATTAAAGAAAAATTTGATTGCAATTCATGTAAATTAAAATAACTTCTCTCTGAGTAGATGTTTAATATTATTTCATTCATTCATGTGTTCATGTAGTTATTTATTCAACACTATTTATTAGCCACTGTATGCCAGGTCCTGAGGTATAATAGTGAGCCTCAAGGAGCTTAGAGTTCAGGCGTACACGTTCTTGGACAACTTTTAGTAAATGAATGAATGAATGCACAGAAAACCAGTTAGGAAATGTATATATTTAGCACTTGAGAATCACGTTTTATTTGTCCATTTCTATGAAATAACCTGTTGGTAATCTAGCCACCATTATAATAATGAATCACATTCATTTATATGATTTGACTACTTGAGAGGTGAAGATCTTGAAAGAGTATATAAAGAGAATTCACACAACATGTTTTTGCACTGAACAATCTTATAGGGATATACTACTTTGTCTAGGATTAGCGGAGGTTATTGACATGGGGTGCATCATTGACTTTTACAAGCTATGTGAACCCCTTGAAACTATACAGTATTTTTCTTGGGTTACATAAGTAGCCTGTAATCTCAAAAGTGTTAAGGAACCATTGCCAAAGAAAGATCTAGTTTCTTCCTCTGTCAGCAAGAAATACTGAAAAATTAAAGTGGTTTGAGATCCGAACATAACCAAATAGCATTTCTCCATTTTTTTTTTTTTAACTTGATCTTTCGCAGTTTATGTCATAGATTTCTTCTTGGGCTTTTCCTCCATTTTCAGTTATCTTTCTCATTCTTCTCTTCACATTTTTCCCTCCCACTGGGTAAGCGGAAAATAGGAAATTCCAATCAGAGAACTGGGTCCTTTTTGGACAAAAATACAGAGCATATATTGTCTATTTACATCTCACTCTGTGATATACGGAGCTGTGGTGGCATAGTAGTTAAGAGCTTGACTGCTAACCAAAAGGTTGACAGTTCAAATACACCAGCTGCTCCTTGGAAACCCTATGGGGAAGTTCTACTCTGTCCTATAGGGTTGTTACGAGTCAGAATCTACTCAACAGCATTGGGTTTTATTTTTTTCTTTTGTGATATATAGTCAAGAACTTGGAAATAAGGCTGAACTTGAACATTAACTTCTGAATTACACATCTAATAGATAAGAACTAAAATGTACACAACCACCTTAATGAGAATGATACTACCCAGGACAGTAAATCTTGATTGGTACTGAATGTAAGATGTTAACATAGTCAAAAAAATAATATGACACTCCAGAAGGGGTTAGTAAGCAATGAAAGCACATACAAAAAAGCCAAGGAGAAAAACATAGCCAACGCCTACCAACAGGTAGGGTTCCTCTGGGCTGAAAACCTCAAACACTCTAGTTCTGGGAGACATTCCACCCCTGAGTCTAGAAATAATTGCATTGGGCTATAGTAGACTGATGACAGTAATGATAAGAATTAGAGTAATAATAGCAGCTGGTATTATAACCAGAAACTGTTCTAAAAAGTCAGAATTTACTCATTTAATCCTCATAGTAATTGTTGAAGCTTCTCGTATTTTTATCATTTTACACATAAAAGGAAGACAAAGCACAGAAGAATCAGGTAAGGCAAACTGTATTTTCCAAAAATGGCCACAGTAAATTTTCAGCCTTACATATTATCCCTAAACCTTGCCACTCCCTGTCAAGAGGTGGAGTTTATTTCTTCTTCCATTGAACCTGGGTAGACTTGTGGCTTCTCGGGCTAATATGGCAGAAATTATGCTAAATGACATTCCAGGATAGATTATAAAAAATATATACAACTTCTGCCTGGTTTTCTCTTTAAAAATCCAGTTACCATGTTGTTAGGAACCCAAGTCACATGGAGAGTCCACAGGTAGGCATTCTAGCGAACAGCCCTAGCTTAGGTCTTGGTCAACAGCATGCGTCAACTGCCAGATGTGTGAATGAATGAGACTTCAGACAATTATAGCCACAGTCACCAAGCTTTTCCAGCTGATGGTCCAGAAAGAGTGAAATGAGACAAGCTACCCCTGCTATGCCTTGCCCAAATTCCCGACACGTAGAATCAGGAGCATCATGAATAATTGTTTTATGCCACAAAGTTTTGGGGTAGTTATGTGGCTGCAGCAACTGGAACACCAGGTATCTTGTGCAAGATTACATGGCTAGTAAGTAGAGGAACTGGGCTTTGCGCTTGAGTGGACTGACTCCAGATCCCATACTCTTAATGATTGGATATACTTCCTTTATAAACAAGAGCCAGGACTCTTAAACACTACGTAGTGCTGTCTTCATAAAACCTAATGACATTAAATAATCAAATCATGTAACTGAATTCCCTTGTTCTGAGTTCATTTCCACCAAGTACCTGTCTTATCATAAGCTGGCTAACACATAGCTTGTTGACAGAGAGAATTATATGCTAAAGGAAATGAGAATCTGACCCAATTGGAAGGTACTTTTCATTGTAAGTCAATATATGGGCATGCTGGTGATACATCAGACACTTGTGTTTTTTGATCTACATGATGCCATATTCCATGATTTGATAAGACCTGATGGCACAGTAGTTAAGAGCTTGGCTGCTAACCAAAAG